TGTCCTTAATGCAATGGTTTGTATAGTTTTAATATCATAGTGTATTTCTATGTAATTAGCGTCCTTAATGCTAATGTTATAATATCTTTCTTACACGCTATACCATAAAGGAAAACTACTCTTCCTTATTTTCTGCAATTTTATTGTTTATCAAGATTTTTACTACACTTAGATAAACACATAGATCATGTGACAATAAAGCGACAAAATTTGTTTTATATAACTACAGTTAAAGTTACTTACAGGAACCATTTTTAGTTCTAATAGAACTTCATCCAAAAACTGAATTTCTGAAAATTCTAATCCGACGAGTTCATGCTTTAGTTCCAAAACACGACCAATGCAATTATCGATTAGTTTTTGCAGCAAATTTCTTTTTTGTGGTTGCAGAATATTTCTATGGCAATCAATCAGCTTATTAGAAACTTTGATGTATTTTAAATATAAAACAGAACTCTTGCGAATTGCCTTAAGACGCTCCTGTTGAAAATATAAAAAATATTATAGCGTGATTTAAATATGCAATAGTTATAATAATAATAACTAGTTATTGTAACTGCATAAATAGTTACTATAAAAATAGTCGACTAACATCAGACAACATGTTTTAAATAACTTCATAAATTTCTTGTCTTCAAACATAAAAAGCATTATTTCGGATTTTGTAGTTTATGCGAATTTTTTTAAAAAATTAAAATAACTAATTATTATTTCTAGCAATAAAGAAAATTTAATGAGTTTTTTTTCATTTCAGGGAAATATCAAGTAAATAATTTAAACTCATTGGGGGGGGGGATATAATTTCCAAATATAACGAGTACATCAATTAAGAATTTCAGAAAATGGCACCGTGTTTGTATTTCCAAATTTGCACCATTTTTGGAATTTAATCGCTTAAACAGAATAGACTGATCTTTTTATTAGAATAGCAAAATTTAATTTATTATTTAAAAAAAAACATTGCCTAATGCAGATACTTTATATTCTATAAAATATGTTAAAACGAACCTGTTAGTTGAATTTGTTAGTCAATCTTTCTGTAGTCATAGTCACTTCTCTTAGTGATCGAATGTTATTGTAGTTAGACTCACTATAAACAGGAGACGGGACTTATATCCTGGGAAAGGGGTCATATAATTTATCATTTAAATATGTATAAAGGAGAATTCAGTCCCTACCTAAGTAATATGAGTGCACATAATTTAAATATCGAGTTTTTATTTTATTTTATAGCCGGTGTTAAACAGTCAACCCAATTTTTAATTTACGACTATTAATGTACAAATATATAACACTGTGATTTTGAATTCAATACGGAAGACAGGAGAGAACTCTTGGATCGAGTATTGGGAGAAATTTGTCTTCACGAAGGACCTTTAAATGGAATTAATCCGCCTTGCTTTACATGGAGAGGAAAACCACGAAACCCCCCTCCCACGTTTAGACTGACGGCAATCATCACATAATTCGTTAACCTTTGAGAATATTTTACGTCAGCACTATGGCCGGTGCGTGCCGGGCGCAGGATTCGCATCAACCAGCCATCGCTGGGATTTGAACTTGGGTCATCTCAGTGTGGGGTGATCTCTCTATTCTCCGAGCCACCACGGTTCTAAATATGAAATTTAAAAACTTATAAATAAACTGCGTCAATATTTATGAAAACAAATTATAACATCAACAGGCTTGTCTCCTTGAAGTACATTATTTATGCTTTGTATTTTATTTTGTAGTAAAGTATAAAGATTCATTTTTTTCCCCTTTTGGATTCAAGGTACAATATTCCATGCTTATAAGCAGTAATTACTATATTCCGTACTTATACATAACATACAGGAGTTCTGTAAGCATAAACTCAATATTTGAAATAAAATTGTTCTTAGAGTTAAACTAAAATTACTAATAAAGGTACAACTAAAATTACTACTAAAAGTACAACTAAAATTACTTGCTAATAATTACTGTGCGATAGAACATTCAAACTAAAACATTGTTACGTCAGCCTTTTATACTAAAATTTATTAGGAGCAATTTATCTATAAAAAAGCTAAATTGACACTCTATAATTAAGAAGGTGATTAGAAATTCACAAAGTTTATTAACAATGCATAAAAAATATTTTTTTCCTTATCACTCACTTGATCCGATAATGCAGAAGTTTCTATTAATTCTTCTTCAAGAAGCTTCTCTAGATCAGCTTGCGTTGATTTCCACAGATCATTGTATTTTCTTTAAAAAGAAATACTATTTTAAATAAATAAATAAAAATAGTTATGAAACGATTGAAAAATCATCTGCTACGTATTGCATTTAAATCAACATGCGTACCAAAATACTACAAATGAATAAATAAAATTAAATAAAATTTTGAAAATACTGCAAATTTGAAATCAGTATACAACTTATTCAGTATAATAACTTATCAGTATTATCGCAATTTATCAGTATAATTACTTACTTATTAGACATTTTTAATTTAGCTTGCGAAATCTCCACCTGAAAGAGAAATTTTAAATAATGATTCAATATTTTTTAATGAGTAAGACTTAGATAATGTAAAAAACACTTATTATAATTTTGTATGCGATTATTGGATAATCGATCTCTATGCATTTCTGTTCCATACAATGTTAATAGGATCTTACAGACTCTAGTTGCTGTTAGAGTAGATGTTGTTAGAGCATTGCATAGATTGTTGTTAGAATCTTCTCGAGTCTTTTTTGAATTTCCTTCAAAATCCGTAAAGGTACAATTAGTTGATCAAAGTTTAATGTAAAA